ATTTTACACAACTGTTGCAGCACTTACCTGTATGGGAGACAACAGAAAAGCACTGATCGTCAGACCCTTCTAACTTCATCCCCCTCTTCGACTCCTTTTTTTCGACTGAACAGGGCCACAGACCTCTCGCTGTATTATTTCTTTGTGTCATTGATTGAGCTGCGACACATGTTCGTCACATAATTCTTATCGTTATCACAGGAAATGTATCAATCAAGGGATCGACTCTGCGTTGATGTAACATCGTACTGATAGTGACACGTCGTTATTGGTGGTAAAAGACTGGAATTGTCGACTTCCGTGAAACAGGCGTTAGTTGCAGCAACAGCGCGTATAAGTGGGCGCACAAAAAAAAGGAGTCACAATTACCCCAACAAAAGTCGAAAATACTGTTCATAGCCCGCCGCCTCCTCTTGGGCCAGCTTGATACTACACTCGAAAAACACAGGTCTCATGCGCGAGGCATCGTTGTCCCACAGGAAGAATTGGTAAGCAACTTCTGCCTGTAAGACCCTACTGTAGGATTGTAGAACCCCGTGCATAACATTGACAATGTTATGTAGAGATATTTCGATGGCTTATGATCTATTGTATGTTGTTACGAGTACCGGCCAAATAAGAAAACTTCAATAAATTATAATGAAAGTTAGTTGCCCTTTGCTGAGGGTGTCGGATGGGGATCTGCATAATTTACGAAATAAATATTCATTTAGTTGTCTGTTTTCTGTCGACAATGTGTCCCAACTAAACTAATGATAGGTTACCTACATGCTTGTCTTTTCTGAGCTGTGTTCATACAATCTCCACGAACCTTTCCAGACCTGTAAACGACAGCTATGAGAAACGCAGGGAAGGTCGATAGACGAACTACACAGTTTATCTCTGTCACGCCCCGTGACAAGCTATGAAAATGGTAATACGGTCAAAAATCTGTTCGTTCCACACCACAACATGCACATTCTCTAAAAAGAGCACCAATATTCCAAAGTTGAACACTTTACTTCGACGCGATAACTTCACGCGTACCTTCGCGATAGAGCACAACAATGCCTCACGACACGCTGGGTGGTGACTTTTTTCTACAGGTCACTATTAAAGCACTCACTCCGGCTCATATTCAAATGGACTAACTGACTGGTCTGGGGTGTTTCTCAGCGAAGACTAGCTAGCTAGCAGGCCAGCTGGCTGTTAGTATTGCGGTTATATCTGTTTATCGTTATTTAACGTATACCGCCAGCTTTGGCGTCACTCAGTCATCACTATGACCGCGCGACACTATCTTCATCTTGTCTGTCCCCTTAAGCTGCACGGCCCTTACAGTTCTCCAGGTGTGAGTGCTGCAACTCTCCCTCAGATGCAGTGGTCCTTTCCACAGTGTTGGCCCTTACCGACGCCAAAGGGAACTCTTCAGCCAGGGGTCCCATATCTGTGTAGTGCACTAATATTCCGGCAGCTGCTTGAGCCTGGACGACCGGCACGTGCCAATTACGCAATGCAATTAAATGCAACCCTAATGGACATATTGATGGATAATTGGTAAGCCTCTAGGCGGGACGCTGTCGTCGCGCCTACTTCTCAGGATCATTCCCCTAGAAACTGATCGTGCACGGGCCCTGCGGTATGGTCAAGGCTGTGCTAATTTCCGCAGCGATAGCTGTGGAACTATCGCTGCTACAGTTGCTCCCGTGTCATTTCTTTAGCAATAGTGGAGTTGGATGCCGCTTGTGCAGAAAAAAAAGCACCACCTGTTATGGATGTAATGATGCGTATGAATAATTGTTATCTTATGATGACGAAAGTTGTTGACCTTTTGTTTTCTTTGTCGAACACAACAGCATTAGCGAGAGAAAGAATCCGGTTTCTCTATTATGTAATACTTTGCATAGGAAACAAATGCACATCATTAGAAAGGACGGAATTAAAATGGCGGACGAACTCGTGTGTGTGTATATACAACGGCAACCTACTTGCGTTCTTTGCGTCATAAGACTAGAGGGTTCTACCTATGTATACGTGACGTGGCAGTTTATTACATACTGCACGGCTGTAACGAAACGTAACGACTTTTATCGTACTGGCTTTATTTCAGTCCATACGACCATTAGGCCAACACTTACTTCCGTTTGACGTTACGTATGCGTGGAACACCACTCGATGAATGTAGCGTTGACGATTCGCGTTCAATGTGAAGCAGCAGAGTGAAACGTTGCGGTGTAGTATCATCAGCTAATAATTCAGAAGACCATACTACAAGTTAAGCTTTGAGGCACACTGATGTCGTAATGTTAGAGAAAAGCGTCCCACAAAAAGGTCGAAGGTGACATGATTGGGCTAACATTTTGCAGCCACAAAATGTGGCCTAATTTTCACTTTCGATCCTCGTCACCGTTTGCGTTTTCAATTCTAATATAATCTTCAAACTAATGATAATACTAAGCATCATCACAAATATCGTTAAGATTTTTAATCTCGTGTGTTTTAGCTCAATATCACAGGACAATGATGGTCATTATATTATAACAGTGGGTTTGCGAGAGTACGCATACAATTTAAAAGCAAAACAGCCACTCCACGCATAGGGCAACTCTTCTCATCAAAAAAAAGGTATCTATTGCATCTGTATTCTGACCCAGCACTGTCTTATGGGTTCCAAGACATTTGAGTAATTTCTCATTCAGATTTATTTTACGGCTATTAGTCGGGCCTCCTAATAAAAATTTTGTTGAGCCACAGTTAAACGTTTACTTTTTAAGTGTAGACAAATACCCGCCAGGTAACAGGGTTCGATTTTGTATTTATCGCAACTGATATAATATCATTCCTCAGATTTGATGAGGTCGTTTATTTGGACGTGTATTCAGGGCCTAGACAAATTCGAGCATCACTGGATGAAAATTCTAATTGGGGGCAGCCACCACACAATTTCGAATCCTCTGCACTATCATAAGGTATAGACGACGGTAAATTGGGTTGCCCATTCATCTGTTAAACGGACAGAGCACTGGCTTTATCTAGTCGGTTAAAAATTATTTTTTCTACCAGTCTCTTACCTACGTTGAGATGCGGATCTTTTGTATTAGCCCAGGGGATAAAATACCGTGGGCGTTATTTAAACCAGCAAGCTACTCACAGAAGGCTCATTCCTTCCTGTGCTTGAAGGAACATCGAAAGCATTATGAGTTTGGAAATTCTAATGGGACGATTATTGAGTAACGACGCTAGCTAAACTGAGTAGTTCAATTTCAAGGAAAGGATTTTTCTGCACCGCAAGGTTTATACTATACATCTGTTTGAAGAAACGAAGGTCGTCTTTCAATTGTTTTCCTTCGCGCAATTTAGTCGTCAGGTTCGATTTCTCTAAATTAGAACTTGCTGAAACCAACGTAATATTTGCTGGTCGCGAAAAAAGATTTCGGGAGTTGAAGAAATGAATCTTTTTTCGATCTAACTTCAAAAACTAGGGATTCTACTGCAAGATAAGTCGCTGACTGTCTTATGTGTATGGCAAAACGCTACGGATCGTACGGGTGATTGGGATCTTTAAACGATCTTAAAACAAAGTTTGAAGTTGCCAAAGAAGCCTGAAAATTTGTTCGCACATCTAACATTTCAACCTCTTAAAAGAGAACTTAAAAGAGAAAAAACGATTGGCATTGATTCGATGTTTCGTTGTATTCTCCGCTGTGAACTACTGCCATATTATCACGCCGAAACTCCCGCTAAAGTGCGTTCCGCCATTGCCGTATACTTTGACAGTTTTCAAAAACTTTTTTCCGGAGAGACTTGCCGATTCATTTCGCCGTTAAACTCTGTCCCCACGCTGTGTTGCAGATTCGTTTCCAGGTAGATGACATTGGTTGGTAAATGCGGTATGAAACAGGAATCAGAGTACGGATCTAGCTTGAACAGTCAAAGTGAGGTCGCGCGAACGAAACGAATATAGAGCAGCAGGAATCAGCAAGAAGGAAAACTGGAGGGCAAATTTACGTATTATATTATAGCTTCAGCGGTAGAGGAGGTTCCGGCTGCGCTTTGAGTCATGAGAAGAAGACAGGACGGCTATACCACATTCGCAGCCGAGTCAGACGAATGAACTAAAAAAAAAAAAAAAAAGTCTTAAAAAAAGAACCTGATTCGATGTTCTTTCTATCGATAATCGAAACGTTCTAGCTAGCGGCAGTAATCTGACATTACATAGAAATTAACACTTTTAAGCCAAATGTAGTATGCGCTGAGCGTTAGTTAACGCTTACAAAAATGACTCATCGCTAGAACCGAACGTTCGCCAACGCTACAGCCATCCGATATGTTGATCGCTAAGCGATAGCGAGCTCACTCACAGATAGCGTCGATTTATAATGCAAGCTAAAGATGCTCTTTAGCGTGGACGTGTGTGTTTCCTGTGCAATCAGATAAAATTGTTGGCAGTGGAAAGGGCGCCGGTTAATAAATGACAGGCAGACGATTTATGAATGACTGAACAAACAATACTGATATAGTTGTGCCTACAACAGGTGATCGAAGCGTTTACTGGGAGGAGTGTAAAAAAATATTCTTAGCTTTGCTGGTGACTTACCGTATAAACCCGAGGGATTGCGAATCATTGCTGGCTTACAAGTACAGTTTCTGATTGACACGCCTCGTCTACTCGAACGAATCAACCTTGCCGATACACACCCGTTTTTCAATAGTTACGCGCGTGATCATAATGCCAGCGTCTATTTTCAGCCTTCATACAGGCATCATGTAGCTAACGTGATTTAGATACCGAATAAAAAGCATACGACCATTTGTACTCACGAAATTACTGTTCATATACTGATTTAATACGTTGAGAACCACGCCAACGTGTTTCGTTGAAGAGAACAGAGGTAAGCATTTGGTAAAGCAACGTCAGCCGTCCATAAATGAATGTACTTTACTTAATACATTCTCTTATAAATAATGAAGTCACTATGTGATCGTAGCTCAGTCAGTTCGAAGGCAATGATGACAAGTACGGTACGTCGCCAGTCCTAGCCTGCCATGCGGATCCGTAATGCCCGTCTAAATCAGCCGTTTAAGGTGATAATGAGAAAGACACTCGTGAAGGAAAACAAATTTCACTGATCAAAAAAAATCTAAATTCGTTCAACTCTGTCGGGAAAATGACCACAGCAAAGAATGACTAGTCCATCTGCCGCGGTAACGCTCGAAACTAAATATCGCATAATGCTAGAGAATTGCCGCTAAATCAACTTGTCCCTGAGCACTGAATCAGGGCCTGTAGTTTTTGTGAACTTTGGTGGAGTCCGCTCATTCGTTCGACGGTTACCCTTCGAACAAATGGCATATGTAACCCCGTTCGCCCCCCTCAGTTCGCGTTACTACCGCGGCCGCTGCTATGGCAGCGATGCTCATCAACCGATAGGCCTTCTTCTTTAGGTGGCCATGTGATTGTTGTTTTAGTAGTTTTTTTTTTTTTTTTTTTTTTTTATCTCGATAGTGTTGTCGTCGGCGGGCTGGGGGAGGTTGAGCTTTTGCCTAGGGGGCCCCTCAGTAAGATCCATAATACGGTCGGAGAGACAAAAGGTATCCGGATGATTGCTAGTCGCTAAACGTTCGTTGTTTAATACATTAAAGCGCTGTAAGTGAGTTGGCATCACAGTCTTTATTGCGCCCGTAAGTAAAGCTCTTGTTGTTCTTATTATTGGCATCAACAAAACTAACGATCTTACGGAACGACGGCGAGACGATGAAAAACAAATCTTTTCTCTAAACCCAGAAAACTGGCCGCACTTGTACGGTCGTAAGTAACATAACATCGTCTTTAGTAAAATGATATCAGAAATGTTACGGTAAAAATAGACGCAGTCACATAAAATCACTGTATTCTCTAGGGATATATAGAAGAGGTTACATGACAGTCTTTTCGTTGCTGAAAATTAGCTCTACGGCCAAATCTATCTCGATCGCCTCACCCACTTTTTAAACAATACTCGTCTAAGATAATCGAAGTACCGTACTCAAGCTCACTGTTATCTACGGTAGTTTATCAGATTTTTTCTATCTTTGCCACACCAAATACTTAGGTCAAAATCAGCAACAATAAGTACTTTTCATTAGCAATTGCTTATTATAGCAACATGGGCCATCGTTTCTATCGGATGAATTGGGCATACCCTGATTTTCTACTACTGCATTTACTCTGAAACTGGAACGCGTTGACTGATTTCGAGCGTCGTAGTGATTTCGGTAGCTCAGATAAGGCGGTACACATCTTGGGTGGTAATCAAACGGTAAAAAAATAGTAGATAGAATATACAGCATTCTTAAAGTGGAGTACCGTTCGTGTGCCAGCGCGCGTCACCTTAATGGCTTAAATTGTCGTTACGGGGGGGAAGAGGGGGTCGTTCATAGATGAACGCTAAAGTATAGATCAATGATGGTATGAATAAACAGTGTATTACAGTTTACATTATGTATCTGTAACCAGTGAATTAGAGTGATATCCGTGAAGCGTTAAGAAAATTGACATGTGCCATTAATGAAATAATAGCTTTCTATTCTTTCACAGGTAGACCAAGTCTGTCATAATTCAACTGCAGTTTGTACAACGTAACGTAAACTGGGACCACCAAACGTCTACGTTTATGCGTCCACAAATCAGTAAGCGGACTAGTCAAGATTCGGTGCCGTACCCGTGGAACGTAAATCAGCATGACGGGCATCATCTAAAACAACGCTGTTACACGAATGTACTTGGTGGAAGCCTGTTTCACTGATATCTGCCTTCTCCAGCTGTACTTATCTAAACGTCACTATGGGGATACCATGTAAGAGTTAACCCGTGCAATTGGTCGTACTCGTATGGACACACATCTGCATCTGCAATATAACGTTTGCCGTCCGTATAAACTGAGTCACTATTCTACTAACAGTAGGGTCCGTCAGAAATATACGTTCAATGACCTGCTCAAGCCCTTCGAGACAATTGCGGTTCTGATGACAGTGAAAATTCTCAAGCTTAAACATTTCTCTTCCTTAGCTACTTAACGTGTGTCGTTTATAGCGTCAAGAGCTATTACTTTTAAGTGAAACCTTGAATCTAGAACAATGTAGCGTATGTACGGTTCATCACTTACCGATATTATGACTGAATTAATTGAAAACCAAAGTATAGTCAAAACATATGGATAATCTGTTTTCCTTTATATAGTAATATGAAGTAAACTAAGTGCGATACAAAATGAATCCAAATGAATGAGTAAAGAAGCAGCAGCGACCATAACGACACCCAAGAAGTCAGCAACTTACCAAAGTAAATCTTATGAAAATTTACGTTATCGTAGAAAGAAACAACAGGTAGAAAGCCACAGTCATTAGGACGATATTGCCTATATATACAAGGTTGTTGTTTAGTGTTATGTATTGTCGCCGGTAGCGGAAACCTGGCATAGAAACACTTGACAACGTCCTCCGTTATTAAAGTCGTTTCTTTTTAGGAGCTACTTCTGTTTAAAAGAATTTGCACATTGCATTTGATCGCTAGAGAGTTAAAAAGCCCGTAGTTGTGATTCTCTGAATAAAACCGCTAAAGGCACAGGATACCATTTAGAGTATGAGTCCTGATGGAGATCGACGAGACCGGGTGTACCCTAACCTAGCAGATACCCGAAGCTGGGTCCGGAGACATGAAGCAAAACTTCAGCCCGTCTTCGCCACCCTTTATGGGGCATGCAAAACAGGAAAGCGGTTTTAACGGTGGTGTGAACGGCAACAACCTTCCCCACAGACCTCTAAAATGACCCATATTGCCTATTCTATGCTTGGCAGGCGACAGAGAGCTCGCGGGCTCGCCCTAATCCAGTTCTTTTAACGTTAACACCTAATTTATCACTTGCTACTAAATCCTGGTAACTTGCAATCGTATTATGTAAAGCACACCAAGGTTGTTTGGGGTGTTGCAGTTGTCATTTGACTAATATACAGACATCATGATCGCTGCCGTTTCGCTCTATTGATTTCCTCGCCGCTGTTCTATTCTCCTACCTAAATCGACATATTAGCAAAGTCACCCAAATAGGCTGACTGTTGTTTGTTGTCGGCTAACAGCCAAAGCGTGTTAGTTGGCATAATAGTTGGCTATGATGCACTGTTAGTGTCAATATACAAACACTGATCCCCGTACAACCCAGCGTTTTAGTCTGCTTCCCGTTCTTGTCACTCAAGCCTGTTCCAGTATTTGCAGGAATTTTGTATTAATAAAAACATGTTATTTACTGTTGCTTTAGCCTGTGTGGTTTGCTACATATGAAGCGTACATATGCTATATCATGACAAGCCAGCTACGGTGTACAGCCGAGCTGTAATAAACCGTTCACTAATAGCTAAATTACAAATGTACACTGATCTGCATAGAGTCCCACAAAACGATAAGGTACTTTAGGACGATATGAGCATGAGATGATGCAGTTGTAAAAAAACAGTGATAATGTTCAAATAACGTAACAGGATATCTAAAAAAATTAGACGATTCGGATGACGCTAAAGGAATAAGCAGGTAACAGGAACAGCAGTTTCATGCAGGTCTCCATGCGAACCTTATCGCACGCTACGACACAGAATGCTCTACAAAATGGTAGTACGTAATAGCTTTTTTTGGATCACGGTAACGGGTTTACGTTGGGAATTCAAATCCGCACGCAATCGTCGTTATTGAAAGTGTTATTTTTTTGTTTATCCATCAACCGGAACTTATTCGCTAAACTTAGTAAGTTACAGGACTCCTCATCTCGTCTGGCCTCGAGGCCTTTCTTTCTTGTACGGGCTCCAGGCGAAGTATTACATCGATGAAGTAGCTAGAGCAAAAATGTCGTCCTACTCTTGTACGACACGATGTCCCGATATGCCATTGCCTCTAGCAAGCATAGCTTCCATTGTTGTTAGTCTCGTTACCATCTCGGCGGCCTGGCGCGACCTAATTAATACACTTGTATCAAATGCCTATCGCTGTTCTTAATATTCTGCTCCTATTTTAATGCCTAATATATCGTAACCTCTCAATTACTGGAGTGAGATCATCTGGTAAGTGGCGACTCTCTCACCTGCCGATTTCCATTAATACTACACCCTATATATATACACCCTATATATCTCTAGATCTGTAACATTTCACAGAAAATCGTGCTTAGCGCGCCAAGCCAAGTAATAACAATAAGCCTCAAATATCGGACTCGATCAGTGTTGGACTCTAGTTTTCATTATAATTTCATAATAATAATAATTCATTATAACTTGAGATAAATAGCTAAAATACGGTGAAATAAGTTCATATGGACCATTAAAGTATGGACGCCAAAACACACATACATGAAGCTGCTAATAGAATTTGTAACGTTATTAAGGAGCCGTCCTCTAGACCACCGATATATATGTATATATACACGCGTATGTGTGTATGTATTATACTGGTAGACAGGATGACGTCTGTGTCGGTATCGTCAAAGCGACGGGCTTACCGATGAAAGTTATTTCCAGTCACCGGAGTAACAGAAAATGTGCCGGTTGATACTGAAAATTTACGGTGCACGATGATTTAGTGTACCGTACGTGATAACACGACTGAAATAATTTTCTAACCTCTTGCTACATTTCTTAGACAAACATTGAAGACAAGCTAATGTTACGATATCGTTGTCAAGTTGGAAGGTTATCTGTATCCTATTTGTAGTACACTGATATCGTTGACCTGGCCACGTCTATTTTTAGCTATTTCGATGCGTATGCTATAAGATACTCGATCGACACGTAGGTCACGAGCAACTAACGAATTCTCTTAGAGAGATATCTTTCTCCCAACGGAGCTGTAGAGTTTCGGTCAACACGTTCAACTTCAGCTGCTGGAAAAGAAACTACTCCAATAGTCCCAAAGTCATATTCTAACTTTCGTCCATCCATATCCTAAAGCGTATAGCGTAGCTTTGAAAGAAATGTAGCAATGCGACCTGGATCGATTGCTGAAAGGTAAGTGACACGCGGATAGATTTATTATTTTCTAACTGGACGTTCCTTTTCAAGACACTGTACTCGCTGCTTTGAGCCATAGAGCTAAATCGATAATTAAACTAAATGTTTGTCATTACAGTGAACAGATCATAGCAAAAGACAATTTGGTAACAATTTGATCGACTGTCAGGACACAAGCGACCTGTTAAATATCGGTTACATGTTTTTCCTGCACACGTAGCAATGGCCACGTGCAGCGTTGTAGTTCGTCACAGTCTATGACCGATAGCCTTCATTTCTGTGACTACGATACGGAGCACTGGTTTCTTCCATTTTCCACTGCACAATACGTACCGACAAAACAGCGTAACTCATGCTCTGCATGTCGGTAAGCCGAAGGCTCTATTTTTGACCACGTCGGACAAGGGATAACGCTCTAGCAAATAGGAGCAAACAAACCACCATCAAACATTAAAGAAACTGTTTTTTACGAATTATGTATAAAGATTAATTTCAATCAAAAGTGGCCTATATAGAAATTCAGTCGATTAAAGTATAAGCTACTCAGCTAACACGATGAATCTTTCCATGGGCACCTACAGTGAGTCGAACTGAAAATGCTAAATAAAAAAACAAACACTTTTGTAAATAGATCCGAATGTGAGCTTATTCTGAATTCTTTAATGCAGATGCTTTAATATTTTTCATACTCGTATATATATATATATACGAGTGTGAGACATGTTTATATATATATATATATACACATGTATGAAGTAATTCCTTCGCTGTTAGTAGCATTAATAGTAGCGGAAACACGCCAATTAAAAGCAACAATGATCAACGATGTACGAATTAATCAAAGCCGTAGTGAGATTTGATTCAATTATGTACAGCTACTCTGTACAAGCTTAAGGGCAACCTTATGTATATAAAACCTTATGTATATATATTAAAACCTTATGTATGTATGTATATATATATATATATATAGTACGCTTTGGTCACCGTCGCAACTTCTCCCTTCCGCATAAACACTTTCTACAAACGAAACAATAGAATCATCACAACCGTTTACCGATCCGTTCTTGAATACGACATTGTTTTTACTGCGCGCAAATGTGATATCGCATCTAATAATGTTTTTCCATATAGACACGATAGCGCTTATCAATTACAGATGATGTACGTCTGCGCGCAGTATTTGGTGGTCATGGGAATGCGATTCGTATTGAGGGGGGGGGGGGGAGAGACAGAATCGGTAAAAATGATTACCCCCCACCGTTGACTCTTTTCTCGTCATATATACCACCTACTGCTTACGAGTCTCATCGTTTCCACTGATGTACATGTATCGACGTAGCCCGCCGCATACGATTAGTCATCTTTGTTATGAGACGTCTTCGACTCTCATATGGCAACGATAACTGGCTAGCTAATTATTGTTGTTGTTGCTGCTGTTGTTGTGATTGTTGATTAAACAGTTCTTTGTGAACGAGCTAATAATAGAACGTACGATGTATAAAAGTACGGTTCATTCTAGACGTCAATTAGCGTTCAGGCGGAGCTAGAATGTTCAACAAGCTAATTCGGCAGATACGACATAAAAATCATTCGTTGTAAATAAATAAATGTAACTCATATAACTTAGACTCAGTCTTGATAAAGGCACAGTGAGCTCATGCTTAATAGCGATATTAATGCTTGCCGTGCAACAAATTTCTCAACAACAAAACATCTGTAAGCGTTTCGTCGAATCATATATTACGTAAATATAGTGGAAATGCCTCGCGCTTACACCCGTTGACTTAATTCAGAGAAGGCAAACTAACGAAGTCGTTGAATGAAGAAAAAAGTTTTTATGAAAAAAAAACTTCTTTTTTGCGCCAAATAAACAGTATTCGAAAATTTGCGACGTAACTTCAATAAAATCAGTAGTAGGCTTTACTACGTCTTCGGGGAATTTTGAATGTATGTCATTCCCTGTTTGAACATAGACGTTTGTTTTTAGCTCAAGCAATTAACGATTAAGATCATTGTATATCTGGGTGTTTGAAATTCTACTATTTCTAAACTTATTAACTCGAACAATAGCCGATGCCATATGATAAAGAGGCCAATTCCATAAGTTCCTCTCCAGCAGCAGCCGCCCACTATAGATAGTCTTGTCCGTGCAACTGTTTTTTTGAGTTAATCGCGTTAATTATTCGGTTAATCGCGTTTCTATTGTATAGTCGATACATCGAGCGATGTCTTTAAGAAACAGTAACTGCGGCGGTGCTAAAACGTATCGGAACGGCTGCCAGAAGCATTTCGGATCGAAATTAATTAGAAAGAAACTATTCCACTTGTATAGGTGTTTAGTTGTCGTCCAGAATTCACAAATCGACATTTTTTCTTGTTCTTCGTTCATCTCTTCATTTTTTTCGCCGTCAACAATAACTCGCTTGACAACATCTGTATGAATTCCAGATTGGGGCGAAATGTTGGCTCCGTTTCCCTTAAGCTGGTGGACGCTGGTGATTTCTTGTAAGTGAAAAAAATGGGGAATACCTTAGCTATTAACAGAAATTAATGCGCATACAGCGGAGCAAATAATCAATACCATTACGTACAGCCCATTAACAAAGCAGTAGATCAATAATAACTATCATAAAAAACAACGAGTACAAAATTACAGTTGCATTCTCACAAAACCATTTGGTTCTATACTTTTGTTTATTTTTTTAATTTCATCCGCACTAATCTCCATTTTTTTGATGAAGATTATCACTGTAGATTACCGCTAATCTTTGTTCTTTATGCCACCTTTTTGTCGCTGCATTTATGTACCGCGGTTTCTCTCTTGTCGTTCCACTCTACCCCACGGTCCAATACGCTTTCCCAAAATGCTAGTAGCTTTGAACATGTCCCGAAAATGCTTCAACAGCCATATCAACAGTGATTATAATAACAATAATAATCTGATCGACAGCTTCCAAAAATATCAGTAACGAATAAAAAACAAGAGTCAACATATTGTCACTACTCCGACAATAGCTAAAATAACAGTTCCGATAAAATAAACAATCAACAAAAAATGTATCGCATTTTGCCAGAATTAAGCAAAGCGGTCATACAGTGAAGCAAACGCAGTTACAAAAATATCCGAAACTTGTGCATACACGTATGTACGCACCGGAAA